TCGCCACCCAGGTTAATTCGGATGCAATCACAGCTTATACACACTTAGGCCGGACATTCAACAGTTCTCCTCCTTGTGGACCTCTATCTTCCAACATAATTGTACAAAGAGCAGTCAATATTTATTACCATTGCATAAATAAATAAAATTTAAGGCGGAGAACAATATTTTTATTGTCTTTATCATCAAATTATTGAAAATTAATTTTTAGTGTTAAACGGGAGAATTAGCATTGACTAGCAATAATAAATAAAATAAAATAAAAACTCGAATTTTTGGAATATGTGATACTATTTCTTTTGTGATGAGAACGTTTTTTTGGGGTTTATCCAATTTTCTTAAGATTTAATTGAGCTCGAAAGACCCTTTATAATCAAGGAAAAATTGGTACTACAACGATTTGGTTATGTTCCAAATGGTTTTTAGATAGATCCAAACCTAAACCAAACGTCGATTAAAACCAATGGTTTTATAGAGGCGATTTTGGTGTGGGTTGGCGGGTTGATGATGTTTACTCATACCCCTATCCTATGTAAGGAAGACGCCAAGGAGAAAAAATGCAAACAAAAAAGAGTTTTAAGAAAAAATGAGCTTCAAAAGATAGAGGTCTAACAACGGTTAACCAAAAAATTATATTGGAAACTCTAAGATTGGGTAGTATGATTAGGTCGCTTTGATAGCTTGAGTACAAGTTTTGGACTTAATTATATTAATCATAAAAGTAGACTACATGTGAAAAGGGACAAAATAAAATTAGAAGTCTAGTGAAAGACTAAATCAAGACCCTGATCCATTAAATAGAACTATGGGGACGACCAATTAAGAGAATTCTAACTGCCCTGGTCATTGTCTTTATAGAAAAATTCTGATATCTTGTTTTGTTCCATAAATTTTTAATTCCTGATTTGTCTTTGAGATGCCTATTCACCAGCCGCAGTTCATATTTTTGAAGAACATCAAAGAAGATACAAGGGTTGGAAGCTTAGCGATTGAAGATCATGATTAAAGAGACGGACTAAAGTACACTACTAAAAACAAGCTTTTTTACCTACGGATAATTACCAACGGATACACAAAGAAGATATCAGGGTTGGAAGCTTAAGGGTTGTTCTCTTTGTGTTTCAATTTTTAGTTTTGAGTTTTGATTTCATTTTGAATTTTGTGGTTTGAGTGTCCATTTTGAGATTGTTGAAAACGTCTTCTTGTTATTTCAAAAATTGTTTTCAAAAATAAAAATAATTTACTTTTTAATTTTGAAAAATTGAAAAAACTAATTATTCAATATACATATAGTTCTTTTACTTATATAACAAAGCAAAATAGCTACCATTGTGGTTAAGGCATTGATATTCCATGTTGTTGACTCGGGTTTGAATCTCAACCACCTACCAATTTTGTTTCAAAAATTTTGTATTGTGCATGTAAAAAGAAAATTCATTTGTATTGA